TCTTATAGGACTTAGTAATACTTTTATATGCTAGATAACTCAGATACATGTAGCAACATAGAATAAAACCCAGCACAGATTTACTTGACTTTTGGGACAAGAGATTGACTGTTTTTCTTAATATATTACATATCTTGAAAATGTGTAGGACTGCCTTATCACTGTGCTTTATTGTGCAGCCATAAATAAACTCTGACAATGCAGGAGATTTCTGACTATATAATAATAATACAGACTGTTTTTCTTGCATGTCTTTTGTTAATGCAGTACTTTAGTTTGTTGTATGTGCTTATGAGTGTGGATTTTTATGTGCTTACATTAGGTTTGGTCAATGAGACTATAAACACCATTAACACTTTCAGAAAACAAAGCCATGGCTCCTTGAATTCAGTAGTCATGGCACTGCCCTAACAAGTTACTACAAGTAGTTTTCATATAACATCATCTTTACAGAGAAAAAATTGGCTGAAAAAATAGAAATCATCTTACATTCTACTGAAGTCACTGAGTTCCTCTAGAAATTCATCCATGTAATAATGCTGTTCCATATGTTATTGAAATTTGGATCTTCATGACTAATTTGATCTCCTTTGAGAGATATAGGTGAAATGAAATGTAAAACAAGCAGAAATACAATATCAAAAGTGCCTCAGAGCATGCTGCTTCTGGATTTTGGAACTGATGTGATAAAATATTCAATCTGTCAAAAAATCAGTCAGAAAAGTTATTTTACTAAATGCAACGTGATACAGTTTTGCAGTTTATATCTTCTGCTTTATGTATCCATTTTTTAAACTGTTTTTAACAGATTTAGCCTTGGTCATGCAAATAACACTGTTTTGCAACATACAGTCCAAAAATAACTTGCAGGAATGTAGCATGCAATTGGTGGTCAAAACAATGGTTATTAAATCCATGCTTAATTTTATCTCTTGATATAAGTGGTGAGATCCTTGTAAATTTAGAGGCAACTATGCACTGGACTACAGTAAAAAATTTCAGCCGATCATTTAATTACTAAAACCTGAGGAGAGAGCTCCTGAAACTTGACTAGTTTTAATCAAATTTATCTGATGGACTTAGCCATGAAAAACAGGAGTATTTTTATTGCATATCAAGTGAGGACCAGCAGCACTCATCAACTGGGGCAGCCAATTGAAGGAATAATTTCAGTCCATTCACCAGTTCATTCTTAAAGGTGGTCAGAAGAGAATCCCTGTGGAGACAGTGAACAGCTATTCGGACTTCCTAGTAACACTTCAAAATGCAAAGAGAGTGACACACAACATCATATAATTGCGGAATCACAGAATGGTTTGGGTTGGAAGGGACCTTTAAAGACCATCTAGTCCAACCCCCTGCCATAGGGACATCTTCAGCTAGATCAGGTTGCTCAGAGCCCAACCTGACCTTAAATGCTTCCAGGGATGGGGCACCCGCACCTCTTCCAGTGTCTCACCACCCTCATGGTAATGAATTTCTTCTTTATGTCCAATCTAAACCTACCCTCTTTCAGTTTAAAACCCTTGCCCCTTGTCCTGTCACTACAGGCCTTGGTAAAAAGCCTCTCTCCATCTTTCTTATAAGCCCCCCTTATATATTGCAAGGCTGCAATAACATCTTTCTGGAGTCTTAATCATGTAAGGCGTGACTGTGTCATATCAAATTAAGTTTACAGCAACTATGAATAAGCAAAGCTATAGTTAAGTGAGATTTAATCAGGTCTTACACAAGATCGTAGGAAAGTCTGGGTTCTTCCAGTGTTTTTGAGGTCTCAGGATATTCCTTGCCACTGTCAGAGCCTTCTTATGCACAGAAAAACCCTCCAGCCTGGTCACTACAGATTAAAGATGCTGATCCTGTGCAGGACACCGTATGCATGGAAATATGTGCTCCTCTACAGCAGCAAATACTGTTGCCTATGATTTTGGTATTATCAGAGTCCTTACTGCTGTACAAAGATTTTAATGCTGTTTTAAGAAAGCAAAACAGACATTCTTTTATTGCAAAAATTTGCATTCAGGAATATTTTATTTGTATCTTACATTTTAAAAGTGCCATGGCAAGAAATGGGTTTGATTTTGAAGAAGAATCATTTTGAATAATTAACTGTGAATTACTCTAATTAGAATAAAATAATTATAGGTTGGACATAGCTGCTTCAAATGAGATGTATGGAGTTAGTGACTATTGGAAAAATAATGCCACCTGATAGAAGCTGAAATAAATCTAAAAAAGAACTTTCTCTTACAATCAGGATTTAACTATGGTATTTTAAAATGTCTCCAATTTAAAACATGCAAATTTCTTCTAGACAGAATTATTAGTAGGACTATGTTGTTGAATTACAAAATCCTCAGTGTAATAATTAAAGAAGGTAGTTTTATCCTTTAAAAGAGAGTTGTGATTAACTCTTGTCTTAATATCTAAGCTCTTGCTCAGAACTACTGAGAATACTATAGGTACCTCTTCAAATCATAAAAAGGTTGATCTTGCTTAAACCCAAGGTATTTTTACAAGTAAGTGTTATTTAATAACATTATTTAAAATATATGTTTGTATTACATATATAGAGACGAATATGTCAATAACAAGATTGTCTACAGTTTCAGGTGCAAGGGATTCGGCATCCATGCACCACTAAATTTCATTAGATTGAGAAGAATTATTTAATATTTTCCTTTAAAAATCACACTTAGGAAAACACACATAGGCTGAATAGTCTAAGATTGCATACTGTTCTTCTTTTGTTTCTTTGAAAATCACCTGGATACTGCAAGAAGAAATCTTTATAATCTAATTTTTTTAGCTACTGATTCAGGATTAGGTTTTTATTGTATAAATACATACTTACACCTTTCGTAACTTGAAATTTGCAACAAAAAACTTTAATGTTACAGTGAAATGATGATTTTTGGTGGCTCTGTAAATGCCATTCTCAATGTGATTATTGTTTGCGTGTAAATAACCTGCTGTACTTTCTTTCTGTTACTTCTTAAAATCTTAAGAAGCAAGATGACCTTTTTAACACAATGAAAGATTAACCAATCCAATTCTGTCTGAGCAATAGGGACAGCTAAACCTGAGGTTTTCTAGACCACTATGCTAGCAGCAGTGCATCCTCTCCAATGAATTTTACTGCCATATATTCATAATATGATATTGCTCATGCACACTATTAGCCTGTAATGTGTTGCTGAAGTCCAGATATGGAAGCAAAAGGTCTCCTGAATATTTATCCTTATTATAATTATCAAGCCGATTCTACAAAACCCACTGATGTTTTGTTTTGATGCTAGTACAAGTAATTTAATTTTTTCCAGTTTAATCTTCCCTTTCATTTCTTGCCCTAAATAGTGTGCTTTAGAAAAACGTAGTAGTGGCTTGTACCCAAAGGCAGGTGAATGAAACTTGCAACACGCGTAGTCAGACACACAGGAATAGTAACCTTTGCTGTCAGAGAAGCTAAGATGATGGCCTCCCTCTAAAGCTTAAAGCCGAAAATTATTTCTTGGTGAGAGTGGAGCATGTTTTTTGTGATAAAAATGTAAGGTATTTTTCATTAACTGAAACTTTTCATTAATGTTTTCATTAACATTTCAGTACAATAAGGCTATCATTTGCGCCTCTTCAGTGGTAGCTATTTCATTTTTTCCTTCTAACCTTTTTATAACACAGGTCAGGGCACTAAAAATAAGCCAGCCAGAGATTGTTCAAGTGTTTAAACTCTGCATCCTTATGAACGCAGTGTCTGAACATGAGTTGCATGATCTCACGCCAGAGCCAATGCGTGTTATCTTAGTGCAAAATGTGAGAGTGCTCCTATCTTTTGTTTATGGCTAGACTGCTGTCATGTTGGCCCATCCTTTTAAATGTGAATAATACTTTCTGTTGAATCTTTTTTGTGTTACCTTCCGATGCTTCTAAAAGGCTTGACTTCGAGCCTGTGGGAAAATTATGTTGAGTGTCTAACCATAGAATGCAGACCTTCTAGAAGATCACTTAAATTTCTAAATTCTGTAGTAATTGCTGAACATACAGGCTGTTGGGTTTCTTTCAGATTAAATTCATTTAAATATATCCTAGACTACTGTAGCAACTTCTTACCCGAATAGTATTTAGCTCTGCTTTACCAAATTTTTACACAGATTTTGGTCATAAACAAACCTTCCTTATAATGTGGATATTAATGTATTGTCATTTCATCTCAGTGTTTTAGAATTTTCATTCTTATTTGATCTAGACGCCTGTAAATTATGAGCAACTTTAAGCAACTCAAAAGTATTGTGAAGGTGTAAAGTAAAAGTAAGGATGATGTGGAAAAGTCATTCTCTTTATGAACAGTATAATCAGATCACTCTGGGTAAGGTCTTCCACCTTTCCAGAGTGAATAAATCTGTCTATTCTAATTCTTTAGAAATACAACTTTAAAAAAGAAGGAGGAAAAAAAAAAATCTCCTTTCAGAATTTAATTGCCAAAATGTGTTTATAAAAAAAGCAAAGAAAAAAATGGGGGATTTAATTATGATTTAAAATGATTGAAATTCCAGTGCACCTGTTTAATCAAAAGAAAATAATATATGCACAGTAAAGTCTTTTCCTATTATGCTTCTGATGACAATAGCAGGGTATTGAGAAAATATAATAGGAAAAGTAATATCTAACATTTTGTTTTGTTATGTCAAGAGATAGCATAACTATTGTTATTGGATAATTTTTACAAAATTCTGCTATACTAAGCTATAAATTTCTAATTCAGCTTAATCTGATTACTATCTAAAGTTAAATGCTCACCCAAATATACAATTAGTTATTTGGTATATCCCTGGTATACTCTTAACAAAAATGTATTACCCTCAAATACATGCATCTGTACAGAGTATTGCAAAGCTGTTACCAAGACACATGAGCATTTTCTGCTTACAATACAGGAGAGCTTTAATTACAGGATTCAGTACTTTTTCCTTCTTTTCGTATAACTACACCTTCACTCTGTGAAGAGCAGGGGCCGTGCCGTTGCTGGACCATGGTTGTACAGTGAACAGAGCTGCTGTACGAATAACCTCTGCTTCGTTACTACCGAAGTTGGAACGTGTGAATGGACCGACTGCTGCAGAAAGAGACGGGATCCTAGCGCTTGAACGATGTGCTGAATTTTTCCGCTCGTGCCTCTTCGAGAGGGTTTGTGCAGGGTGCAGACCAGGTCACTTGAAGTGGAGAATATGACGCGTTATTTGGAGCAGACGTGAGCATTCGCAGCTGTAGATGAGATCACGGGAAGATGTTCTCTCAGAAAGGAAGCCACTGTGTGGTGCTAAGTGTTCTGTAAGAGTGCGTTAATGGTGTCTCAAACTGGGAACTCAAATTCGGTTTTAATCTCTGTCCCAGTTTGGCAATACATTAAATACTGTAGCGTCTGTTCATCTCAAAGTACGTTGTATAAATATTTTCTTTAGTGTTTGTGAAGCACTCAGAGAGTGATGCCTGCAACAGAAAAGCCTGAGAGAAAATAATATTACAAGGTTTGAAGTGTATGGTAAAGTAAATATAAGGTCATCCATTGAATGCTTAGTAGAAAATAAAATATTGAATATTACACAGTAAGAGATTTATCTCTGTTCTGTGACCCAAAAAGACAGAGGTAGGTTGAAAAATGGTGTATGAAACTTAATCATTAAAAATAATAGTTAACCTTAATTCCAGCATTTTCAAACTTTTTGAGTACCTGACTTTAAACCTTTTAACAAATTTTTTGTATCTGTGAAAGAATTTGTACACATCTGATTATGCTGTAGCATTATCTAGTAGGTAAGGGCGAAAAGCACTTCTAAATGAGTTAGCCTTTTGTAGCATGAGTTGAAACCAGGACACTGAATATTCTGGATAGGCTGTTCAGAAAGTGTTTGTAAAACAGGAGAATGATTTAATTTCTCCTTCTAGCTGTTTCTCTCCTTCTATTGCATACCTTGTTTTAAACAACTTCAGATTACTGAAATAGTTGAGCTGATACGTATATGAAAACATCTATCAGTGTAATCTTTGGTTCTTTAATATAGTTTCTAGCTCAGTTTTTGTCTCCAGGTCTGCAGCAGACTACGTATCTGTACAGTCTTACGGATACGCAAAATAATGACCTCCTGTGTTACGGTTTTATATATTGTTTTTGCATCTAAAGCACGTACAGCAGTTGAGTATATAGAGATTTTAAGAAATAATTCATTTTAGTTTCTCTTAACTTGTCCTCTTATTGCTGAGTCTTCACCCTGCGCATGCTCAGCCTTTTCTGCAAGAGTATGGCTTTGTGACACAGTCTCGTCACTCCAAGGAGCGCAGTTCTATGAGCAGCGCTCACCTTTTCTACGGGAGCAGTTCATGTGGTTCATTGCTGATGAGAGTCATGCCGCTGATCCCCTGTATGTTGGGTGTTCTCAGGGCCAGGTGCCTTATCATATATCTCATATATCTCATATATCTCAGGGCCTTATCATATATCGAGTCCTTTCGCACACCTAGCATCCCTTCAGTGCGCTACTTGTATGGCACATGATGGCTGATGGGTTGTAGGCTGGCACCACTGTTTTAAGAAAAATAGTAAATATTTTGTGATTGTATTGTAAAGAGATAACATTCGTCTGAATTGCTGCCTTTAGAAGAAACAAAAAAAGCGTTTCTATGAAATATCTCAAGTAACGGTTGATTAAGTGCATCATTTACACAGTGATTTCCCCCTTAACAATTCCAAGTGCTCAATTAGCAAAACTTGATCCTTTAATTGAGGCTTTGAATATTCACCTTTTTTTAAACTACAGTTTAGGTGGCTACTGTGGAAAATACATCTGTAATTGTTTAAAGACTATCTCTCATTTTGTTTAATGCATCTTTATGGAATGCAACTGAGTTCCTTTATTAGTAAGATGAACAGATGACGTTTCTCCCTCTTTTCTTAATACTGCTACTAGTCAATCTCTTATAAAAAACATTTTAAATGTAAAATAATATTGGGTAAGGTCTCAAGACACATTATTTATATACTGCAGATTAGAACAGATATTTTTGGGCTTCTTTCCACCGTGATCCAGATGTATCCATTATGGAGAACATCCTATCTATGCTTTTGCCTTCGTGGTTACAGCCGTTACCTTCTGACCTACAGTGTCTTTGAATTTCAAAATCCAAAGTAATACCATCTGTTTGAGCTATTTCATTCTCTTTTCTGTGGGCTAAGGAAAACGAAGTGATTTTTAAAAGCTGGTGTATTGTTACAGTGTTCGTTCAAAGAGGTCAGCTACAACTTCTTGTTAAATTCAGCAGAAAAATTCTAGGAAGTAAGCTGCCACTTCAACATTTTTGCAGCCGTATTTATTCAGACATATTTACATGTCCGAGAAAATGACAACTGTGAAAACAAATTTAAATTAGCTTTTTCACTTCTACATATAGTTTATCTCTTTGCCTTAAAGATTTGTGATCTTGCCAAGGTCATTCTCCTCACTCATATTTTTGCACTCTAGCGTTATGATATGTTCTTTGCACATACTGCTGCAACCTTGCACTTACTAGTGGCATTAAAATGAGTGAATAAATGTCAGAACTGAACAAGCCTTGACTGTCAAATATAAGCTTCTCTAGCATTCATGGCTAATGCTCTAATCATCGGTGCAAAACATTTTTTTTTTACATGTTTTTACTGGCCAGGATGCATAGGGGAGTAGTGTGCTCAGTCATAATCATGCTCCACAAAGGCTGGAAATGTTCCCTTTGAGCTTCCAATCATTAGGCCAGCCGAGGTGAAGACAAGCCCATTGACAAGCGAGAATGGCAATAATTTATTTTCTATTGATGGGTTGTGACAAATCATGTTTGGAGCAGTGGCTGCATACTGTGGGGCTACATGAAGAAAGACTGCGATGGCCCTAGATGAAGCTCTTCACAGCTCATTTAGTCCAAATGTAGCCACCTGGGTGGTGAATCGGTTCAATGTACCAGCCCAGGCATTCCCGCACAAAATTAGATCGCTTACAGGCAAGGCATATAGGGGTTCCTGCAAGGCATTAATCAAGGGCGGGGGGGGGGAGCTGTCAAAATGTGGATTTCAAAATTAAGGAACACGCGAAGGATTAAAATGCAGCCACGACGGAAATTCAGGAATATAATTTCCATCACATAACTCCAGGTATGGAAAAGAGCTTGGAAGAAGAAATAAGTGAAATATTAAGAGTGCTTTCAGTAGGGGTAGATTTTTACAGACGTTAATTACTAAAAGCAGCATGAGGATTTATCTAAGCTTGGGCACGCCCCCTTCAACTTTCAGCTGACAGGTCAAATTAATTTATGTGCTTCCTACCAGTGCGTAACACAGTTCATATCTTATTTAAATTTACTTTTGCCAAGGCCCACTGATGTGCTTAGTGTCTGACATCTCATGCTGTTTCAGAATAGAGATGGATATTTTACTTTGCAGGATAAGAATAGCCTGCCCCTTTTATTTTATCAACTCTACTTACATTTTATTTCTGTAGAAAAAAAAATTAAAATAATGTTGAGATCTGACTCTAAGGGTTTTGCATACATTTTACTCTACTTTTTTTTTTTTTTAATATGATTTTTGTTTCCTAAGAAATTCTGCTGTCTGTATTTAAAGTCAGATATCCTCTTAAGCAGCGATCCTTGAATCCTCTGAATGGAAGCGTCCTGACCTGACCAGCTAAGCATTGCTTCAGATGTTGTGGAATTTTGCACTGTCTTCTCATATTGTCCATTGCCCTGGAGGGAGAAAAGAGGGAGGAAACAACCAGAGGGCAAAGCTCCTTTTATCTTCAGAAAAACTGTGAAGTAGACATCTCTCCTGTCTGGCATGCGCTGGAACAAAATCTCCCACAGCAGCCCCCTCCTTCACCTCCTGCGTCTCCCTCCATTGTTAACTTGGAAAAGTGGAGAATCTGGGTTTTCTACTTGAGGGGAACATCGCTAATATTTCTGCAACGCTTCAGAAATCAGTAAATGAGCAGGAGTTGTCTCAGTGTCACCACAAATACCGTACTCCTTTGCGTCACCCCCTCCCTGACGGCCACCAAAGCGGGTATCCCCAGCTCCCGCATCCGTAAGCTGCTGTCGGGTGGAACCTTTGCCACAGACATCTTCTTCTTCCAGCGGCTGGGGGTGAGCAGCCCACAGGGGATAACAGCCCGCTTCTTCTTCGCTACTTACTGCTCGCGCGGGCATCTCTGCTACCGCACTGAAAATTCGATGTTTAAGCCCTGGTAAACATACAAAAAATAATCTGTGCATATACAAGTAAGAATTGTATATGACAGGATACGTAAGTGACAGAATTAAGGTTTTCCTGTGTCACACTTCTAAAAAATTGTTCCATTTAATCTATTAAGACAATATTTTCTTATTTACTCAGAACGAGTCTAAGGCTGCCATGCCTAGTAGTATGGTTTAAGGGATCTCAAATTTAATGAGCAAATACATATTTGGCAATCTAAATGTCTATGAATTTTATTTATTTCTCTTCTAATCATCTTAAATTATAACTTACTTAAGAAAATGCAAAACAAAGGGGGCAGAACTAGAGTTATTACGTCTTTTAGGTAATCTTGAATTTCCTGTTTGTATATTACAACAGGAGATTTGTGTAAAAATACTCAAGTGTGATGATGGTTTATTATCATGACATGTGCAATACACAGGCAAATATATAACATTTAATGTGCCAGGTAATCTGTGAGAAGAGTTAATTATGTCAGTGTATTTTATATACTGTCAAGCTTCCTTTAAAGGGACATCTCCATCTCCTCTCCTCCTTTAAGGTAATTGTATCACACTGTGATCCTTAGAAGCACACTGAAAATACAATGGTTTAAAGGTAAAAAAATAACATTATCTTTCAACAATGACATAAAATACACGTGGTTTGTTTATACTAGTTAATAATTTTTGTAGGTTTCCTCTCTGTTTTTGTTTCAGATTTTTAGTGCAGCTAATCTAAAAACAGTATGAAAACAGTGTACCCGGTATGGAACTTCAGCTCTATACTTCCTGCATGTGGCATTAGTATTGGAAATACAGTAATGAATTTTTCTAAATAATTCATTATACCAGGCACTTGAAAATTTTATTTTTATTTGGTATTATTTTGTCCTCTAAGGTAACATGACAGGATAACTGTCTTGCATAAAAACCAAGATCATCACTCTTTTTCACTGCCTATCAACCAGTTT